AACATCATATCTTTATGTATTTTATTATATTAAGGAGGCAGGGGACTAAAATTGGAAGATTTCATTGTCTATGTGAAAAAACAGACTAGAAATATTTTTCCTGTGTGTGTGTTTAATTTCTGACATTTGTGTGTTATAAGGCATGGAAATACAGTCATTTCCATTATTAGCAATATTAGTTTCAAAGCTACTTTTGGAAAAATTACACTGAGCTGCTTAAAGTTTTACTAAGTAACTGAAATATATTCTTTGAAATTTTAGCCATTAATAGTATATACAAATATTTAATGCAATTGATATCATAATTTTAATATTTTTCCTTCTAGTATAAACATAGAAATGTTAAAATGTGCTTGTCTCAGGTTTTCTTTTTGTCAAGCACACACATATACAAAAAGAAACAGACCAAGAAATAAAGACCTCCTATTTTAAGGCATCTCTGGCTGCCATTCTTGACTGGGCAATTAGAGAATTTGACCCCAAAGTAAAGTAGCATCAGAGAGAAAAGGAGGTGGCATTGCCCATTCGCATTTCTGGGACATTGCCCACATATGGGCCCCGTGCCAGAGATGACTTTGGCCTTCTGCATAGGGGATGCTGCCCATCCAAGCCTTTATTGTATTCAAGAAAGAGAAACAGCACTGCACAGATTGGCTTTCTGAAACTTCGGGTATATGAGAAAAAAAAGCTGCCACTTGGTTTATGAACCAAGAAAGAGAACTGGACACTGGAAGAATCTTTCTGGGTAAACATTAGAGCAAAGTAGTGCCAAATTACAATTAATACAAATTACAAATTAAATACACACACACACACACACACACACACACAAATGCATGACAAAATGTGGGGGTGCAAAAGTAGAAAACATTTAAAAAGAAGAAAATTACATTATAACTTAACAGACTAATAGCATAATTCTTACATCATAAATTTCTGAAATACTACATGGAAATTTTTAGTCTTCTCATGAATTGGACTGGTTCACCACCTCAAGATTTTATTATCGATGATATTCAAATCTAAAATTTTTAACTCTCAGATCAGGAAGGTTTGTGACAGGTGAAGTTCAACACTTTTGGAAAACTTTCAAACTTGTCAAAAGTATCCTAGAAAAATACAAAGATTCTACCAGTAATTTTCAAGCCAATTCATGTAATGCTTTGTTTTCTACAAAGTAATCAAAGAGCATGTAAATATGAATGCTGCATCAAATCACAATTGACAACACTGAAATACTCCATAATTATAATAAATTTGTTTTTGTTTAGTCCATCTATGTACTCATGACCTTCTCTAATAAATGTGTACCTCTGAAAATGCTTAGTAACCATGCATAGAAAGCAACTGATCATTCTTAATTAAGTTTCAAATGTGCCTCTTCACACAGCTGCACACACATGTGTACTAACCTAATTGTTAGTTGCACCTGCTCCAAGTTAGGAATATTTCATAGAGTACATGGCAAGAATGGCATTTTCAAGTGTAAATCTGTTGCATGTAAATCTATACCTTCTTTCAGTAGTTAATGGCTCATATGCTTTGTGCCATATATAGGAGCCTGCTGTACAAAAATGTGGGTGATTTTGAATTTCTGTACTTGAAAACAAAGCTGTCTCTTCCATCTAAAATAAGTTTTATTCTTCCATAATATAACTGAGTGATTTTTCACTGAGAAATATGAGTAATACTTTTCAACGTTTATATAAAGGACACTTTTCATTCAACCAAACATTGAAAAGAAAAGCTGAAACTCTTTCACAACTGCTGAAAAGTTGTAAATAAGTTAAATTGTTCTTGTCCTATACTCACTATATCCACCAGTTCAAATGCCATGATGATTTTTGTTACTATCTGAAATCTTGAGTTTCTGAGTATTAAGGACAGCAATGATTAAAAAAAAAAAAAAAAAATTACCTTCTTCAGATTATGAGCTTAAATTCTGTATTCTACACATGTAGCAAATCAGTCTCCAGAAATCACACCCCTTTTTCAAAGGAATCACCCTAAAATCTGAAGTTGGAGTAACCACATATCTTAAATATCTTAATTTATGATAGAGACAGACACTTTTTCATAAAATGGAAGTTTTGTACTAAATCTCTATGGTATGAAATTCTAATTTCTTGTTTTATAAACCAATTTCCTGATTTTTAAAAGAATGGGTTTGTCCAAACTGGTAGCCTGACAAACATTAAACTAAAAGCACATTGAACATAATTAAAAGCAAAGCTATAGAATCTTGACAGGTAACCTTCTCTGGAGGGTTTGTCTCTGCCCTTCTTCACTTGTTAAAAGGATCAAAACACCATGTCTGCTCTGATTAACAAACCGATGAATAAGGTTCCCCATCTCCACAGTAACAAAAGCTACCTCATCATCTACTACATTAGTTGCAAGTTTACGTTGACAAATATTTCTTTAAGTGTAATGAAAATACACTCTACTTACAGAATTGTAGGTAAATAGTTCCAGAAACTTAATAAAGTTACTTAAAGAAATTTAATAAAGTTTCTATTTTAAACTCTTTGTCTTCAATTAATTTTTTAATAAACTAAGATTTTTCTGTACAGCTACAAAAAAACAACATCCACATGTTACAAAAATGCACACTACACATTTAAAAAGTAAACAAAACTGAGTGAACTTTTGTGTCAATCAGGGTACATGAGTTATAACTTCTTCTTGAAACCTGTCTACTTATAAAACAATCTTTTAATGGCTCAAAGAGACAAAAAGTCTCTGAAGACCTATTAAGAGCAAAAATATATATATACATTCACCTATTTTTTGTCCAGTGCTTTGCAACTATTGGTTTGCAAAAGAAGTATTTTATTTAAAATTAACTACTATATTTCTAAGAAGCAACAATTACCAAAAATCTCTGAGGTCCTTTAAACGTGATCATTTCACCCTGCCAAACCAATGAGATATTCTTCATCCTTTGTTTTTTGTTCTGCATCTTCATGAACATGGCTGCTAATTATATTATCCTGGTGGTACATAAATCTGAATGGGAAAAATCTCATGATTCTTATAGAGCATAAAATACTCCTTAGGATTCAAATGTATACTTACTTAGATCGAGTACTCCTAAATTGCAGTGAATTCTGTTTTGCTAGAGAACTTAGCTTTGATTCAGAATTTCTGTTTCATAAATGATGTAGCATCTCTCCAACACACCATTGCATGTATGCATGCACGTGAACACACATACACACACACACACACACACAGAAACCTTTAGCCTTTTCCTGCTACTTTGTATAGTTAGCTTCCCTATTTGTATATTTGTTTTTCTAAAATTGTTTAAGTTCTTAAGTTTGTACTTATCACACAAAATGCCATACACATCTCATGCCTACATTTGCCATAATAAATCCCTACTATGTTAAATGATTAAAAGTTAAACCACATTTTTAAAATTGAAAATTGAAAAGACCATAAGAATTCTCTGCTCTTACCCACCCATTCATTCTGACAGTTTTAAGATTTTACAGTGTATCAAGTGTCTTCTTTTCTGAAACATATAGGAACATAAGAATGTTTTGAAAACATTTATGCAATTTGGCATACTTGGCCTAATATAGTTTAACAAAGTAAGCTCTCTTATTGTTCTGATTAGCTTTCTCATTAAGAGTAAAAATCCTTTATTGCAAAACTTAAATTAACATGTGGTAGGAAAAATAAAGTGGTTTACACATCATCAAGAAAATATTATTCTTAAAATTTTATTTATATTCTTTTTCTTAAACCAAGCACCTAAGTAATTCACAAAACAAAATACCTCTCCTGGGAAAGAAAAATATCCTGAGATAATATACAAGAAAAAGCACTACTTCAGCTAAAAACTAAACAAAACAACAGCAACCACCATTCACGAGCTTCATGACAACTAATAAACAATGAAGAATACTTAAAGATTTCTTCTATCAGTTTCAGTAGCAAACCCTTGCTCTTTTGAACACTTTACTGAATGGGTTCTCAGAAATTTCCTTCAGTCTTGTAGTCCTTTCAGCATTTATGAAACAATTGTTGGAAACGTAGGTGGCTCTTCAGATTAATTTAACTTTCCAGAGAAAGCTACTTGATAACAGGAGTGAGCCAGTACCTCCGACCTCAAATTAACCACTTACAGTGGTACATTTTTCATCTCTAAAGTATTCCCAGCCTCTCTTTCTATTGCCTTTAGTTAATCTAAATTCAGAGACAAGACGTTTTTCCATTATTGGCTTCTTGCCTCTTTACAACTGAACAACATTCCTCAAAAAGTACATATAAGTCTCCATGCTATGGAATCAGACAACAGTATCCATTTCAGGAACAATTACACACATAATGTAAGACAATAGTTCTCCTTAGAACCGTTCGCAATATTTGTGATTTAAAGTCTACTGGTTAGTCTAAGGCAATGGTGTGGCAGAGTTCATCTAAGTATACGTCTTCAATCTACATACTTTTAAAACTCAATGTGGCTTACAGATCAGACAGCTATAAGGATACCATCTGTCCTATATAGTGGCTTTTTAGATCATTATACTTATAAAACAATACAGTCCATGAAAAATAACACGTGTGAATGAAGAAACAAAGATAATGTAAAATTAATATTTGGAAGAAAAGTCAAAAATTCCATATTTCTGTTTTAACACCTGTATATTAAATTATATGTGACTATCACGTTGTTACATTATAGGAATGCAAAGAATAAAGGAACAAGAGCTACATCTTGCTTTGCTTAAAGAAATTAAAGACAAGTTTAACCCGCACCTGCCAAACTGTCTTCAGAGGGACAGAAATAGGTAGTGGCAGAAAGGCTCACCCCTCCCATACCCCACAGCGCGTCTCCCTGAAATCATTTTAAATACAGGCAATATATCTGTCACCTTTTCTCTTTTACTTTTTCTTCCATTCTAATGAATGGCAGAAGCTTTAGGCACCCCCCCTGCCCACTATCTCAAAGGCACATAACAGAATAAGAGGACCCAAGAGTCACTTACCAGTTGCATGCCACAGATAAAGATAAGCGTGCACCTGCCATTGCAATAACCCATGGTTTCCGAGACCCCTGCCACTGCCAGACTGTCCCACGTCGGCCACCGTCGAGCCCCCACTTTATCCAATCAGATCGCGGGGAAGGACAGGCAAACCTGCCGAGGGCTCGGGGGCTCCCGGCTGCTGCTGCCAGCGTCCTGGGAAGTGACAGGCATT